ATGTTTCAGTGACTTACAGCCAAAATCATTCTTGCCTCTAGAGCAGATACCAAGATGTGATATTGCTAAACCGTAAGTTTTTTGGTATTTACACACATACATATTTTGATCTTCGCAGGATAAGGTCAAATCATACGTTCAGACGCTCAATAGTTTTAGAATTTAGAAAGAGATTTGTTTACCCCGCAAACACAATAAAGTAGTAAGCCTTAAGCTTTAAGGAATTGATCAATCATAGTCGATTATTCTTTTTATATTCCACTATGATTGATCAATTTTTTAAAGCTTAATGGACCTTCCACAATGAGCGCCATTAGTCATAAATCAGAAGTCAGAAACTAATTTTTGTATATTTTAGTTTTTGTTATTTTCTACAATTGTAATTATAATACTTCATTTTGCTTTTTAATTTTATCCATGTTTTATTACATATTTCGATATATATTTTGTATAGGAGCACGTCCAGCAATGCACACTCGATGAGAAGAAAGGAAAGTCCAAGAGAAAAAAAATTGCAGCAACGAATTTTCAAATTAAAAGCAAAAGTAAAAACGATGGACGAGAGAAACAGACGGCTTCGGAAAAAAATAAAAGATTTAACAAAAAAAAAGGACAATACAAAACCAGAAAATAAGGAACTTCAAGGTCACGAAGTCCTACGTCAATTAGGTTGTAAGTTTTTTTCTCCAAATTTTGCACGATTGTTTTCCGTCCAAATTGATGCTCACATTAAAAGCAAACGAGGAAGACGGTATAGTTCTGAATTCAAACAATTCGCTTTATGTTTGTACTTCTTAAGTCCGCGAAGTTATAAAGAACTTAAAAAAGAATTAGCATTACCTTCTGTACGCAGTCTACAAACATTTACACAAAAATGGAAAATTGAACCCGGTATAAATGCTAAAATTTTTAATGTATTAAGTGTAAAGTTAAATACATTGCCACCATTAGAACGTCACTGTATTTTGTGCATAGATGAAATGAATCTGAAAAGTCATTTATTTTATAATGTTTCCCAAGACGAAATAATTGGATTCGAAGATACCGGGAATGAGAAACTACCATTACCTGCAAAAAGTGCTTTAGTTATTATGGCACGTAGTATTGCAGGTAATTGGAAACTTCCTGTTTGCTTTTGTTTAATTGAAACTGCATGTAAATCTAATATACTCAAACCTATTCTATTTGATGTTATCCGTATGCTACGAGATTGCAATGTTATGGTACATGCTTTAATTTCGGACATGGATTCTAACTTTATGCAACTCTCCCGAGAATTAGGTATTTCTGTATAGAATTCAAAATTTTTAGTTGATGAGCACGAAATACTGTATATATTCGATACTCCTCACTTAATGAAGAGAACTCGCGATAATTTGTTGAAATATGATATAGAATTTGGAAACAAAGTTGCTTCATGGACTCATATTGTTGATTTTTATAACCGAGATAGTAACCAGTGGATCAAAATGGCCCCAAAATTATCTAAAGATCATATTCAGCCAACTAGCTTCCAAAAAATGAAAGTAAAATATGCTGTGCAAGTTTTTAATAATCGCGTTGCTGCAGGTATGTGCACTCAAATGTCCTTCGGTTTTCTTCCAAGCGCAGCAATTGGAACAATAGATTTTATCGACAATTTTAATAAATTATTTGATATTTTAAATTCATCAAGTTTAAATAGCCCAAAGGAATATGAACAAGTATTTACAGGAAGTGAAAAGCAAATACAATTTTTAGAACAAATGTTAATTTTTGTAATGTAAATTTCTTGAAAAGTATTAATGTTGTCAATGATAAAGGAACTTCTGTAAAAGTTAAGTGCTTCGAATGTTGGCAAATAACTATAAAAAGCATGATGCAACTTTGGCAAAAATTAAAATGTTACAATTTTTCTCATATTAGGACACGAAGAATTAATCAAGATTGTTTAGAAAATTGGTTTGGTTCCGTTAGAAAACAAGGCGGTAATTGTGTAAATCCGACACCAATACAGTTTACTCGTGCCTTTAAGAAATTGTTTAGTATGAAAATGTTGGAGCATTCAGATACGCAAAATTGTGCCGCAGATAATGATCACATGTTAAGTTTGGTTAATGAGTCAGATTCGAATCCGTTTACTTCCGAATTTGTTCCATCTACGACGCGTATGCCAATTTTAAATATTCCGAACCACGATTATTATGACATGAAATTGCCGGAAGAAAATGCCTTTAGATATGTTTGCGGATATTTAATTAGAAAGTGTACAGAAATGCATACATGTGAAACGTGTAAAGATTTTGTTAATGAAGGTAACACTGTCATAGATAATACTGCTTTATATTGTTCTTTCCGAGCTTATAATAATACAGAGGAAAATCCTTTTGGAAATTTACATTTAGCAAATAATAATTTTTGTGCTTATATACATAAATTAGAAGAAATATTTGTGAAAGAATTTGAAAATAATTGCTTTAAAAAAAACATTGGTCATTATTTAGTTCAACATGCATAGAATGTAATTTTTGAACAACCATGTCCACATTTTCCTACAATGTATTTAATAAAATTATTTTTCCGTATGCGTATTTATTTCACTTTGTCTCAGCATAATAAACAGTGCAATAAAGGTTTTAGCAGAAAAAACAGAAAACTTTTAAATATTTTACATTTGTAAGTATTTCTTTTTCAGTGATATATATTACTTTATTATCTATACAGTCATATTTTCATACACACATATATAATAGCAATTTATATTTCATATGTTTATGACTAAAATATTGTTTTTGCTGGCATGTACTTTTATTTTGTTTTGTTTGTTATAACAGTTTATGATAATGGTAATGGCTCATAATCTTTTAATTTCTATTATATACTTGCATGGTTCGATTATAATTAAGATATTTTATAGAATTATATATATATATATATATTAAGTATTAAATATTAGTTTTTGACTTGAAATGTTAAGTTTCTTTCTGTCTTCGTTTCTGTCTGTCATCACTCTTTCTTTAGTTAGTGCCGAGGTGGATCGAGTAGCTAAAGTATGGACTAATGATTGAGTTGGACAGAAGAAATAAATAAAATTTAACATAAACTTCATATATTTATTATTGTATATTTAGTGTACTTATTAATTTTTGTTAATTTTTATATTTCTGTTCTAAAATGGATGCTTGAAATTGACTGTTGTATTATTGACATATATGTATGCGCGTTATTGTTTGGTATATGATCCATGATTGATCATCTTTTTATGTCTCATTAGTCGCTATTTGCACGTTTCGTATATTTTATAAAATTGTATATACGTTTTATACATTTCATGAAACTACAATAAAAAATTATTTAAGAGCGATGTATTAATTGAACATACTGTTTGTACGTTTATTCACATTACATCTAACATTCTTTTATATTTTATGCACTTTTTTTTATTAATTTGTAAATAATATTTTCATCTTATTCTATTGTTTGTTTAATTTGCATATTGTATGCTATTACTAACATTATTAATTTTTTATATAAGTTTTATGTAAGTTTTTTAATTTTTAATGTTTACATTTCATAATTTTTTCAGAATTTCACCAACAATTGCCAACCAATCATTGGCTGCGTTCAGCAGAGAAAATTATTATTTGTTCTCTTATTGCGTTTATATTTTGTAACTCTGACTATCATTGCAAATAAAAAAAGGTTAAGTTACAAGTCGAATCTCCTTACGAATCTCCTTATGTTTCCTGAGAAATAAATGTATATCATATTTCATTTCTATTTTATTTTCTGTTTCAAATGTAATGTATATTGTGTAGATCTGTTATTTTTCTAAGCTTCTGAACTTATTGCATCAGTGTACACCAGTTCAGAACTTACAGTGGAAAAAGAACAGACCTTGCAATAAAGTAGAAAAAGAGAAAAGGTTACAACAGAGAGAAGAAGTGAGATGGAATATCAGTGCCTTGATTGGTTACATACCTCGCTCGCGCATGTGCAGTTCATTTTTATCCACGCTGACATCAAAGGTGCCGACATAGAGTTGCGCTACTGTATATACTG